GACTTGGTTGATGCATGTCATCGATCCTAAATGCGTGGATCGATGCTAATGTTGTCAATCACTGGATTCTCTGGTCCAGACTCGATTATGTACAGACCGCCGCAATATAGGTGGAATATGGTGCGGCGTTAAACAACAAACAAACAAACACTGTCACTACACAACCTGGTACAAAGTCTGACAATGATACGATGCATGCATGAGCGATCTGACTTAATAGTTGAGAGTGTACATCAAGTCAGATTCTCGCACTACCCAACAGAGGCGGCTGTAGCAGTGGTAGCTTTTATAAACCCTTCCGATTCAAAATGAAGTCTGTTTTTGGTTTCCTCATTATTCTGTCTTGTGTTGGACTGATACCTGGTGATGATACATCCCTGGCCTCACTCATTTCCAAGTAAGCAATCTCAGAAAACTTATCATACATGTTAGGTCAGTAAGAGTCTGAGGCGGCGCAATTCGATGGGCAAACTTGCGTCCCTTTGTCGCGTAAACTATGCACCTAATCGCGCCTCTGGGGGCACGGGTTGCCAAGTCGTCTAAGACCCGCGATTCGCTGTGCAGAGTTGCGTCCCTTGAGCACGCCAGAAACCTATGATTGTGGGTTCGAATCCCGGTTCGCTCCGATAATGTTTCTTGGTTTGTCAGGGCCCTACTCGTGCTCGTGGGTTTCACCGAAGTGGTAAACGTCTGAGACCTGCATCACTTCGGGCTTTCCTCCCACATTAAGCTGACACGCCGCGATATAACTGGGCTACTCACTCACTAGTGCGTCTCTAGAGTAAAATTTTCTTCGTTACAAGTGTTGGACATTGTTAGAAAAGATATGAAGCTGTATGCATGTTGAATCAAGGCCACGGTTATCACCATACATCAAATTTTAAGTGCTCTTCTTTCAATTTACTTTGCATGATTGCTTACACACATTAGATAACAAATGCACGATACATTTACCTTCATTGTGAATTTGGAGAACATGTCCCAACGACTTAACAAGGTTAGAATGTAAATGAATCTACTACATATAATGTTTTTAATCACTCATTCATTCATTAGAGTAAACATTTGACATTTGAATTAGTTTCATTGATTCTTTTCCTCGACGTACATTGAACTTTGGCCAAATATGTTATAAAACAAGTATTCAAATGTAACTGGCCGAAGGTAATTCTTGTCATGTGGTCGCCCAGGCAGTTCGGCTAAACTATAACCTGTACACATTAACGCCACGACCCTCAGATAAAGTACGAGATAGAGACAGACAACGACAGGAAGAGGCAGAGTGGTGTTTGTTTTCCCGTGACAACATTGTGTTGAAAAGCTCAGGCAGAGTTAATTATTGTAAAAAGCGTGTCACTTTATGGATATCCCAATGAAGCATTTAGAGTTAATATTTGCTGGAGTGCTTTTGTCCTCGGATGACAGTTTGGTCATGATCTGTGTTTGAACAGTTGAATCCAGATATGTGTTTGTGCCATTAGCTCAAAATTCGTGTTTATACACTTCAACGCGTATTCCCAGATCCGTGTTTGCACTGTCGTAACCATTGTTTGTACTGCTAGCTACATATCCGTGGGACCTGATCCGTGATTGTACTTTTAGCTACATATCCGAGGGTCCTGATCCGTGTGTTTATTGTTAGCTACATATCCGTGGACCTGATTTGTGATGATATTGTAAACTACATATCCGTGGGACCCGATCCGTGATTGTACTGTTAGCTACATATCTGTGGGACCTGATCGTGATAATACTGTTAGCTACATATCCGTGGGACCCGATCAGTGATTGTACCGGTAGCTACATATCCGTGGGACCTGATCCGTGATTGTACTGTAGGCTTCATATCCGTAGGACCCGATCAGTGATTCTACTTTAAGCTGCATATCCGTAGAACCTGATCCGTGATTGTACCGTTAGCTACATATCCGTGGGACCTGATCCGTGATTGTACTGTCAGCTACATATCCGTGGGACCTGATCCGTGATTGTACTGTCAGCTACATATCCGTGGACCTTATTTGTGATGATATTGTTAACTACATATCCGTGGGACCTGATCCGTGATTGTACTGTAGGCTACGTATACACGGATATGCAGCTAAAAGTACAATCACGGATCAGGTCCCACGGATATGCAGCTCAAGGTACAATCACGGATCAGATTCCCCGGATATGTAGCTGACAGTACAATCACGGATCAGGTCCCACGGATATGTAGCTGACAGTACAATCACGGATCAGGTCCCACTGATATGAAGCTAACAGTACAATCACGGATCAGATCCCACGGATATGTAGCTGCCAGTACAATCACGGATCAGGTCCGACTGATGTGTAGCTAACAGTACAATCACGGATCAGGTCCCACGGATATGAAGCTAACAGTACAATCACGGATCAGATCCCACGGATATGTAGCTGACAGTACAATCACGGATCAGGTCCCACGGATATGTAGCTAACAGTACAATCACGGATCAGGTCCCAAGGATATGTAGCTGACAGTACAATCACGGATCAGGTCCCACAAATATGTAGCTGACACTACAATCACGGATCAGGTCCCACGGATATGTAGCTGACAGTACAATCACGGATCAGGTCCCACGGATATGTAGCTAACATTACAATCACGGATCAGGTCCCACGGATATGTAGCTAACAGTACAATCACGGATCAAGTCCCACGAATATGTAGCTGACAGTACAATCACGGATCAGGTCCCACGGATATGTAGCTGACAGTACAATCACGGATCAGGTCCCACGGATATGTAGCTAACAGTACAATCACGGATCAGGTCCCACAAATATGTAGCTGACACTACAATCACGGATCAGGTCCCACGGATATGAAGCGTGTGACGTACGGATTTATTTTCTTATCATCTGTATCTTCACTACGCAGATAATAAATTTGTGTACATGTGTCTGATATGTTAAAACTCTCTATATATGACTGATTGGATACGGGTATTTTATCTGGATAATTGCCACAAATCCTTTTGTCCATTGTACGACTCCATATAAATGACAAGCAAGTATTCATGAACCACTATGGAATATGTTTGCGAACGCGCTCATGATCTTAACACGTGAAACAAGCTAGGATATCGCAACATATATGTGACCACATCTCCCAACTCTGTGTAAATTCAAAGTTAACATGGATAAATCTGTGTTTAAAATCTAAACGTACACGTCATCCTTGAAATGAGGGAAATATAGTAACTAGTTTTCCTAGTTACCTCCCTTTGACGTGTCAATAACGGACGATATTCTGTGTTGACAGCAGATCTACACTCGTATATCATTTCATGATATCATAACATGAAGAGACTTTGGTGGGTAAGCGAATTGTGTTCAAGGCCACGTTGAACAGTATTTTAGTTAATAGCACTAGCATTTTCAAGTATATGAAGCTAACACTGATGAATCATATATTCATATTTTAGTGAAATCCACATAATTATACACATTAAATAAGGGGTTCTCAGATGAGTGGCTTCTTTTAACTCGTTATTTTAAAAGTCATCAAATGTGGAGAGGTACTTAAATGTATTTTGGTGTTGTCCAATCAAAATCCTTTCGACACCATCTCAAAGCATCTCTTTTGGTAATTGTTTGGCAAAAAAGGTAAATAATGAATACAAGTTGTGAATTTTGTAACCATATTTACAATTACATTTTAAATACATTTAGTAGCATGAGTGAGAGTGAGTTGGGTTTAGCGCCGCTTTTAACAGTATTCCAGTTATATCGCGGCGTGTCAGCTTAATGTGGGAGGAAAGCCAGAAGTGGTGCAGGTCTCAGACGTTTACCACTTCGGTGAAACCCACGAGCACGGGTATGGTGCTGACAAACCTAGAATCGGGGCGAACCGGGATTCGAACCAACAATCATAGATTTCTGGTAGCAGCATGATTAGGGCATGAACCTGGTTATGAGAAAAGTGAGGAAAAAAGAAAATCTATTAAATGTGAACGTAGCACATGCCACTTTTAGGAAGCATTTGGAAGTTACAACATAGAACTGTTTAAATTTAAAAATTTAAAATAAAAGAAGATTAAATAAATTCATCATATTTATTATTGTTTACATTTTTAAGAAGCCACAAACAGAGTTGATGTGTGCTTCTGATAAGGCTCTGTGTGATAAATAGAGTCACGTGCTCTTGTTTCTCTATCCCCCTTCTATATGGAAGTTATAAGCATGACATATTGTTTCTTGTTAATGCTGAAACTGGTGGATCGAAACGGTTGAGTACCAATCGTTTGTGATTGTCAAGTAAACATTTCAACCCGTACAGATGACGATTGTTCTGTTGATGGGGGCATTTTATTTGCCCTATACAAAAGACGTTTCATAATGTTTAAATCGCCCACACGAGCATTGCGTATTCATTTTGTACGTTGTGATTTGTTTGATGTTCTGTGCTCGCTGTGGTAAGATGTCTACTGGACTTCTTGAGGTGGAGTAGTTAGCAGCTGTGTTCTCACATTCTGGAGTTCAAGCTTTTTAGAACTGTTAAAGAAAGTATACATTGGGATTTAATCACCCACACGAGCATTGTGTATTCATTTTGTACTTTGTGATTTGTTTGATGTTCTGTGCTCGCTGTGGTAAGATGTCTACTGGACTTCTTGAGGTGGAATATTTAGCAGCTGTGTTCTCACATTCTGGAGTTCAAGCTTTTTAAAACTGTTAAAGAAAGTATACATATTTGAAAATACATCCGAAGACCGAAACCAGGCATACATGACAAACGCGAAAAGTTGTGTCTGTTTAAATCATCAGTAAACTACACTCTGCTCTGTAACATAACTGTAATATGCTCACACGAGAAGCCTAGGAAAAGCCCAGTTCTTCTCATCCTCAACTGCCCATAATTCAACGGCGTTTTGATGGGAATTACCCACAAGGAGTGTGTTCCGGCTACGGATATGCTGTGTCATGTGATCTGTCCTGGATGTGCATAATAATATGTATTTAGTAGACGCCGCGACTCCCTCCATCACAACTACGCGTATCTGTGCCTGCTGTTTGACTGGGTGTTGAATCACAAGTTGCAGGTGAGAATTTGTTTATATTTCATATTATATTGTTTATTCAATATCAGTAGACAGCCTCTTTGTTAAACGTTAGTGATGTTTGTTTGTTGTTTAACGCCGCACTCAGCAATATTCCAGCTATATGACGGCGGTCTGTAAATAATCGAGTCTGGTCAAGACAATCCAGTGATTAATATCATCAGCATCGATCCACGCAATTTGGATCGATGACATGCATCAACCAAGTCAGAGAGCCTGACCACCCCATCGTGTTAGTCGCCTCTTAAGAAAAGCATAGTTATATCACGCAAAGCGCAGACTCGTTTGACACGTCAGTGAAAACCACAAGCACATATATGGCACTAATAGGCCAATAATAATTATTGGAGAGAACTGAATTTCATTTGCTTAAAGAAACAGGACGGGCGCACAAGTCCTGACTACAATTCCTATTCCCTAATTCACAAGGGTGTTTTCTGTGTCGAAGTTCAACATTTCACTTATTGTTGTTTTAGGAAATTTCAGATGATATTTGCTTTCATTTTGTGAAATATTGTCCTGAAACTTTTGACGGTAGAGATGTCGGTATATATATGGGTACTCCTGGTTTAAGTTAGCCCGCAGGAGCCCATGATTCTCGGAGTGTCGGAGTGAGTGAGTTTTATATTGTACGCCGCTTTTAGAATTATTCCAGCAATATCACGGTTGGGGACACTAGAAATGGGCTTCACACATTGTACCCATGTCGGGAATCGAACCCGGGTCTTCGGCGTGACGAGCGAACGCTTTAACAACAAGGCTACCCCAAAGTCCCCTATGCTTCTCGGAACAGGCAACTCAATGAATCACGACACCAGTCTCGGTGATGTGGTAGATTGCGTGTTCCGCGAAGGCGATGGTTCCGCGAGATATATTTCGTCCAGTCATTTACTGGATGACTTGCATACAGGTTAATAATTTGAGTAAACATAAAACTTTAACGCCAGAGAATAACCCGTCATGATTATCCGACAAATCACGAGAGGACACGGGTGCTCTCGAATGTTCTCGAAGGTTAGGTGTAGTATATTTGGGTTTAACGTCGCGTCCAAGATTATTGCACTTATATAGCGAGGTGCATGCACGTGTGTGTGTGTGTGGTGTGTGGTGTGTGTGTGTGTGTGTGTGTGTGTGTGTGTGTGTGTGTGTGTGTGTGTGTGTGTGGCTACTAGTACTAGTCCGGACTGATGCCAATTTGTAATGCTAGACCACTGAGATACCATGCCGTAGTTTAACATGAATACCCCACTCAGACACAGTACACTGACTCCGAGCCGACCAGTCCTTGTTTTAGCCCTTTAATGCCGAGCGCCAGACAGGGTAACAACAAGAACCATATTTTAACGTCTTTTGGTATGACGCGGCCAGGGAACGAACCCCGGGCCATCCTCTCTCCGGGCGGACGTTCTACCTCTAGACCACGAAGGCGGTCAGTTCTCGAAGAAAAAGCATGGCATGCCTTACCTGTAGCAGCAGCCACTCACACAATTTACAGATAAAATAATGTGTTTTGTGCAGTATTCCTGCCATGCGACGACGGCAAAGAACTTCCTTAAAGGAAGAAATTCAACAAGCTATCTAAAGTTACAAATATGTACAAAGAACGTAACGTAAAACACCTCCTTGTCATACAACCAACAGCAAAATGGAAACTGTGTGAGGAATGTCCGGTGTATCTATCTTTAGCGACAACGAGCCCTGGGAGGAAAGTTAGGAGGAAGGGAAATGTATCACGAGAAATAACAATAGTCTGACCCTACCATTGTTGCTCGTGATCTGAACCCCTTATTTTTATATCGTGTCGTTGTCCAGTAATAAGATATTTTTAATTTTCTACAACTAGTTTTAAATCAATCTGTTAAATATTGGTAGTTATTATACTGTCCTTCAGCGACAGTTTAAAAAAAAAGATTTATTAATGCCGACGTGAATTAAAATTAAACTCCCTCACTCATAACAATGGTCAGTTTATGTGTACCTCCTCAAAAAAGGTTGGCTGTTTGTTGTTTAACGCCGCACTCAGCGATATTCAAGCTATATGGCGGCGGTCTGTAAATAATCCAGTGATTAATATCATGAGCATCGGTCCACACAATTGAGATTGTTGACCTGCATCAACCAAGTCACCGAGCCTGACCACCCGATCCCGTTAGTCGCCTTTTACGACAAGCATTGTCGCCTTTTACGGCAAGCATGGGTTGCTGTAGACCCCTTCTAACCCGGATCTTTACGGGTCTCCTCATAAAGGCGACTTTGATTGTTGTAAGATGGCGACTAATGGAATCGGATGCTCATGATGTCAATCACTGGATTGTCTGGTCAAGGCTCGATTATTTACAGATCGCCATCATGTATGTGGAATATTGCTAAGTGCGGCGTTAAACAACAAACTTCAATGTAGCACAAGTCATAACAATAGTTTTTGTGTACTTCCTTATAAAGATTTGAAGTGAAAGTCAAACAAACACTCTTCCTTCAATTGAAAATGAAGGAAGCGTATTTGCTTCACTTCGCAACTATATAAAGAAGTACACAATTGAAAATGAACCCATAAAGATCCCGGGTGGAATAGGTCTTCAGTAACCCATGCTTGCCGTAAAAGGTGACTATGCTTGTCGTAAAAGGCGACTAACGGGATCGGGTGATCAGGTTCGCTGACTTGGTTCATGCATGTCATCGATCCCAATTGCGTGGATCGATGCTCATGATATTAATCACTGGATTGTCTGGTCCAGACTCGATTATTTACAGACCGCCGTGATATGGCTGGAATATTGCTTTTATTGCTTTAATATTTTACTTGAAGCGACCAAATCCTTTCCATATTCATGTTTGTTTAATTGTTGTTCAATGCCGCAACAATTAAACACACATGAATATGGAAAGGATTTAAGTTAAATAACAACGTTGTGACTTTTGATGTCCGCTTAGTAAATACATTTCAATTGATTGATTGGTTTGTTGTGTAACGCCGCACTCAGCAATATTCCACCTATATGACGGCGGTCTGTAAATAATCGAGCCTGGACCAGACAATCCAGTGATTGACATCATGTGCATCGATCCAGTTTCAGTTTGCATTGTTTAACGCCGCACTCTGCAATATTCCACCTATATGACGTCGGTCTGTAAATAATCGAGTCTAGACCAGACAATCCAGTGATTGATATCCTGAGCATTAATCCACGCAATTGGGATCGATGACATGCATCAACCAAGTCAGCGAGCCTAACCGCCTGATCCCGTTTGATGCCTCTTACGACAAGACACTGTGGTAACACTTGACTGATTGTAAGTTTTGCCATTAAGTGGTACACATTTGAAACATTTCTTCTTAAAGTACATACCCGTGCTCGTGGGTTTCACCGAAGTGGTAAACGTCTGAGACCTGCATCACTTCGGGCTTTCCTCCCACATTAAGCTGACACGCCGCGATATAACTGGAATACTGTTAAAAGCGACGTGTAACCCAACTCCCTCACTCACTCACTCACTCTTAAAATACATACTTCTCTTTATATCTTTCTATGGCTCGCGTTTCTTTTGGCGGTAAGTATAATGTAACAATTAACTGTGTACTAATTACATGTTTGAATATTATCAGATTTGCGTTCTGAGATACAGTGATGTAAGCATCTTCTACAATTAACAATTCATGTATGTAACAAAATACAAAACCCTCTGCCGGAATTGTTTGTGTGAATCAGTCGATCAAGTAAAAATGCCTGCGTGACAAGACGAATCAACTATTTATACCCGAAAAAAGAAACTGCCTTATTTTAGGAACAGTGCTATAACAGGACATTTGACATTTCTAAGAAGCAGATACGCTAGAGACAGTGACTAGACTACATGTACGTAATCCGTATCAATCAAAGGTGTAAAAAACCCTGAAAATCATATCTGTCGGAGACCTACCAAATTATCAAGTTTTATCATTACTATATTTATTACAATGCAAATACTTTAGTGATACATTTTTCAGAGGATAGGGCATACACACAAGTATATTGCTTCCGTGTGTTAATGCAGGTTGTACTTGGCATCTTAGTTCTCAGTTTCATACCGGATGTATTTCTGAATTTGTATATGGGACCATGCGCACAGCATGACAATTACTTGCTATTCGTCAGTCTACAACACACATAACACGGTCAAACAACTTTGGGCACCGCTTTTGCAAGTTGTTTAGTACAATAATGTTTTATTAAAATCTATTTCAGTTTGTTTTCACCATTTTCCCTATTCCATGCATGTTTATGTTGCTACATCTTTTGGCTCATGTTCCCAAGGATTATAAAACACTTTAATGTTTCTCCGTCCTAATGTAACGTTATAACATTCCAGGTCATTACCATCATCTAATACACAAGAGATGATACCAAGACATATTTAATTCGGTTTTATGGTCTATGCGGTCTTACAATTGATTTTATTAGTCTTTTAATCTTATGTCTAGTACATATTTTCACAAACAGGGCTGTTAGCTGATATAAGGAAGGTAACATCCAGTTGAATTCCCAGTTGACGTACTTACTTTTTTAAATCAAATATGAGGACTGTATACGACATACATTAGTCTCTTAACGACGTTTCTACAATTAACATTTTGAATAAGCCGTCAATATGCCAGTTGTGACAGGGATGATGGTATGGTTGCTGTAGCAGACAGATTGACAGTCGGTGTTACGTGCGTCACTAGGTAATTAGTACGGCATTGACCTTCTTGATTGTTACTATACTTTGAGGATTTCTGTGGCCAGTGGCGGACGTAATTCAAACTCCTTCCACACTGACACCGCATCAAATATATTTGTGTACCGATTACATAACTCTTATGGACAGGGTGGGGTGGTAGTTCACCGGACGACACTGTGCATATTGGGCGGCTCCTTTGATATCTCCTCCAAACATACTTTTATAGAATGACCCCATTAAACGATGATACACATCTCGTTGAATATATCAAGGCACTAATTCATCTTTCATAAACATTTTTTGTGCCTTTGTGCTTAATATATCCACATATGAACGAAAATGTGTAAAACATGTATCCACATTTTTTCTTCCTTGGAAACAGCATGTTTATTTTTGTAAATACCTTTGACCGAGACTGGGTAAAGACCGTAAAGTTTCTGGACTTTTGGGTTTTGCAGAATTAAAATGGAACGCGTTATATATATATTTATCCAGTTTTACTAGTATTATTATGTTTGTGCTTGATCAGATTCGAGTTACAACACAATATGGTGTTAGGGTAGCACAGTGGTTAAAGCGTTCACCCGTCATGCAGAAGCCTCAGGTTCGATTATCCCACATGGATGTAATCTGAGAAGCCCATTTCTGGCGTCTTCTCCGTGGTTTTTGCCGCAATATGACAAAAACTTAGTGTATTATGTAACATATGACAGAACCACATTTATAACGGAGCATCCTAGATGACAAACGAACACATTATGGGGTACATCTCATATTAGTATTGACAGCTTTAATTTGCTTTTTGATTTCAGCTAAGATGCTACTTTGCGTCCTGTGTCTGTTCCTTGGCTGCCTGACTCTGTCTGAAGGAGGACATCTCAACATCAGCTGCAAGCCTTGTGTGTGTAGTGTGGCATCAAATGGAAAAATTATCGCCAATTGTTCGGACAAAGATCTATCTTACATCCCCGAAACGATTCCAAATTCAGTATCATACCTGTGTTTGTCTCATAACAGAATTAATCCTCTGTCAGGTCGTTGGTTTCAACGGTTCACCATATTGGAACATCTTGACCTATCCTTCAATCAACTAAAAAGTTTGCAAGTGGGCACTTTTATCGGAGCTACAAACCTGCTACAACTGAGTCTCCATGGAAACAATCTTCCGCTAAACGAGACAGCATATCCAGACGGGATATTCAGACAGCAGAAAAGATTGCATACTCTGAACATTGGACAGAACAGCAAGGTCGCAGATTCAGTGTACCCAGATAAAGCTCTGAGCGATCTTACTGCTCTTCGGACACTTGTCATTGATGGTGTGAGTAATGCCACGTTTGGGAATGGATTTTCGAAACTGAAGAATCTTACTAAGCTTACGGTATCAGGGGAAAGGGGCTACTGTTCAATTCAAAAGCTGCTGAATACATCTTTCCTTCACATTCCGTCTGTCAGGTACCTGGACATCAGCAAATGTGGAATCTACTCTATTGAAACAAGTGCATTTTGGCCACTGAGGCATATTGATACTCTAGACATCTCCAACAATCAGTATCTAGGATTTGATAGCCTTGGTGAAGCTGGATATGGGCTTCGGTTTTCATCTCTAAGAGTATTAAAGATCAACAGGATTGTGACAACATTTGCCATAGGAGTTCACATAAAGCATCACAATATGAGGTATTTCACTGATCTTAATGTAAAGGAGATCTCTATAGATTCAAACAGAGTGGAACTGATCGATCAGGAATGCATCAGACTTTTAAAAACTGTGGAACTGGTATCCATGAAACACAACAGAGTGACATTTGGATCCTATCTCCTGAGTCTGAATGAACTGACAAATTTACGTAAAATCTATGTTGAAAACCAGTACGCATCTAATATCCCTCTTGTTGGTTCTGGTACAGTCCCAACTCCCTCCGAGAATCCTAGGCTGCCTTCATCTGAGGCTCAACCAGTGGTTCAATATTCACGAATATGCACGCGTGCCTGTGAGGCAGAATGTACCAATAGCTCTTTGTGCTTGAACTATCATAATAGTTATTATTACAATGCAGAATATGAAAAAAACATAATCATTGACTTAAGTATTAAAATACTGCTACCTCCAAATGTAACATATGCAAATGTTAGCAACAGTAAATTGAACTATCACATTGGTGAGCTTAACTTCAATAGAAACCAACTTAGAACAGTCGATTTATCCCACAATGTCTTAACAAGGTGGATAGGGCCATTACATGAATCTCACACAGTTGAATACCTGGATCTCTCTGACAATTACTGTACATATATAGCTCCAACATTTTCATGTTTGCTAGTGGCCTAAAAATCTTAAATATAAGTAGAAATTACCTCTCAGTGGCTCTTCAAGCGGACAGAAATGGGCAGATATTGTTCAACCAATCAAACTTGGAAGTACTAAGAATCTCAAATAATCTTATTCGGGAACTGCCTTCATCAATATTCAAGAGACTTACCAGACTTCAGGTTCTTGATTTAAGTTGGAACATGATGACCTCTTGGACTGTTGAGATTAGCCACATGACGCACCTCCATACCTTAGACATATCGGAAAACAGATATGAAGACATACCAATACAACTAACAGATCAAATTGACCAAATAATGATTCATAGAAACGACAGTCTTCACCTAAGCATCAAGGGCAATATCTTGAAATGTGACTGTCCCACACTAGACTCATTAGAGTGGATTACCAGGCCATATATTTCCATAAAAGAACCTGGCAGTACACAATGCAGATTATCAAATGGGGAAATTATTACATTTTTAGATATAGGAGATGTTGTAGTGAAGCTCCGGCTACAATGTAAAATTGTAATTCCTCTGATATCCTCAGCAGTGGTTGGAATAATATTTTCCATGTTCATATTTGGAGCTGGTATGGTATACCGATATCGATGGAAGCTGCGCTATCTATACTACACCACTAGACGGAAGTACAGAGGCTACCAGAGACTGAGAGAAGGTGAAGACCATTTTACTTATGATGCCTTTGTTTCCTATGCTGATGGAGACAGAGGGTTCGTTATCGAAGACATGCGAACTGTACTGGAGAGACACTATGGCTTGAGGTTGTGCATCCATCACCGTGATTTCATGGTTGGGGAAGCCATTACTGCCAACATCATCAATGCTATTCAGTCAAGCAGGAAGACCATTGCTGTTTTGTCACCGGACTTTGCAAAGAGCGCCTGGTGTGACTATGAAGTCCACATGGCTAAGCTGGAGAGCATCCACACTGGAAGAGACGTCCTGTGTGTGTTGTGGTATACTGACATACCCGACACGAGAATCCTCAGTAGAGATATCCTTGACCAGATCAATTATGACACCTATATTAAGTATCCAACAGTTGAAAATGATAAAAGGGAGTTTTGGGAGAAGATCAAAGCTGCAATTAGCTTCTAAGACTGATTCATATGCCCCTAGAACCCTCAGCAGAAAGGGATTGCATTGTACTTATGTTAAGTGTGATCATTGATGGTGGCAGGATATTATCAGCAAACATGTAATCAGTTTCACAGCAATAGTGTTACAAATGTGCATCTTGCGTGAATTGCAAGTACAGAGCTACTCGCTGAACTTGAATATACTTCATTGATATTGGTTTCGATTGGTGATCAGATATGGGTAAGGCCGTGAGGATAAAAGTGTGCATCACACTAAAATAGGAAAGAGAAAACATTTATTAGTGGACACTAGCTGTGTATAGTTTGATATGAAATGAGAATGAGTCTGGAATTGTTTGTATTACCATCGCTGATTGAATTATCAGCAATGTTAGCTCCAAACGTTCTCACAAGGAGAGAAACGTTTGTACGAATAAAAAGTATGCAAAATGTAAACTGTCAATGCAAGAAAATAACCATCCTAGAATTTCTGCCGAAAAAGATTCCATTTGGTACAATAGCTTTGGAATGTATATGAATGGGTCACACAAAATCAGTGATGACACTAGGTGAAAAGGGGAAGCATGTTCTGCCCTACCGGAAGAACCCACCATTCATACAAATTGCATAAAATAGGAAGTATCAATTGCATGGCGCCGCATATCAGTACTCCTGTCATGCGACGTCAGCCAAACCACTTCCCACATGCATGCCATAACATCCCTGATATGCTGCCGCGACTACACACAGCTTGGCAAGGCTGGCTGGCTGGCTGGCTGGCTGGTTTGTTGTTTGCGTGCGGCGTTAGACAACGAATAAACAAACATGCATCAACCAGTTCAGCGAGCCTGACCATCCGATCCTTATGCTTACGTCAAGCATAGTCGCCTTTCAGGGCAAGCATGCATGGGTTGCTGAAGACCTATTCTACCCCGGCTCTTTATTGGTTGCTTGGCAATGTGCTACTGCCGTACTGGTGAGTCAGGCTCACATCATGATTTTGTTCATGGATCATGGTAATCTTACCTGTTCCTGTAGAGAGAGGTTGCGTTAGCACATTGTAACCTCACAGGTGAGGTGAAATGGGGTTTAACGTCGCGTCCAAGATAATTGCACTTATATAGCGACGTGAATGTACGTTTGTGTGTTTGTGCGGCTGCTTGTACTAGTCCGGACTGATGCTGATTTATAGTGCCAGCTCACTGAGATACCAAACCGCAGTTTAACATACCCCACTCAGACAGAGTTTACTGACACCGAGCCGACCAGTCCTTGTTTCAGCCCCTTAACGCCGAGCGCCATAAAAGTACCTTAAGATTACCTTAAATTAGGAAATATGTTAGATGTTCCAGTGGGAAAATGTATCCCACATCCGTTTGTTTTTTATGAATAAACATAATTTCGAAGGCATCTTTTCTTGATAATGTTTGTAAACAAACACATAAACGAATGAATACATTCATCGCAAGTAATAGCAGAAAGGTCCACGGTCACATCCGTCATCAGACAGTCACATTTTACATGCCAGTGTTAAGAATCACGTTTTTAACGAAAACTGTTGAACGAAGAAACTAGAAACTGTATGTGCCGAGAGATTAAAACTGCCCAAACTGTGCAGCAGACGGGACTGCACACTAAGGTTTAGATTGCTATCCTCGGGTGGCCCTTCGTGATACCCTCAAATAGACCTACATGTAAGTTCATCATGAAGGCTACTTCTATTTTAAAAACGATGACTCAAACATCTTAAAAAATGCTCAGTTAAGTTGGAGGGGATGTTTCTTTCGATCCAATCTCAATGCGGTATTTCTTCATGTAGTTTGATTACTGATCCTGAATTCAAATCTGAACTTTACAGCTAAATCATACTGTACAAATCCGTTTGAAGACATAACATTCCAAGCGAAAAACATCATATTTGGCACTGAGTGTACTCTTTGAGGGTTGATTTGTTTGAGAGACACAACAGAAATAAATGATCGAATCAAGTCAGCCAGAGAAGATCGAGCATGAACAGAACTCTTTGCAATCGGTCCTCAAACATTTGAATTCTGTTAATCACTCTATCTTTTGCATGAAAGTTAGGATATTAGTGACAATACACCATACATACAATAGCCTTATATGCAGTCGACCTTATAGAATGTCCAGAGAAAATAATTGGATTCGACTGTTGTGTACATCAATGCAATCGGGATTTAATGACAAAATAACAAACGAAATGCCAAAGTCAATGTATTGAGTCTTTTCTGGCATCTTAAAGGCGTCGATGCAGCCATGGTCACAAAAAAGGAAGAGTGAGTGAGTGAGTGAGTTTGGTTTAACGCCGCTTTTAACATTATTCCAGTTATATCACGGCGTGACAGCTTAATGTGGGAGAAAAGCCCGAAGTGATGCAGGTCTCAGACGTTTACTACTTCGGTGAAACCCACGAGCACGGGTATGGTGCTGACAAACCTAGAAACATATCATAGGTTTCTGGCGTGTCCAAGGTACGCAACTCTGCACAGCGAATCGCGGCGCCTTAGACGACTGGGCCACGCGGGGCCCCCCAAAAAGGAAGAAGAATGATACTTTTCATTTTAAAGAGTTGTGGCCTCTCCTTCAGGAGCCATTCAGGCTGTACAAAGTAAGAACAAGACCGTAAAAAAACTAGCGAATATATCCTTTTGCTACAGGCGCAGTATAGAGCTTTATCACACACTGACCTTCCAATGCTGAACTTCGTATCTTACTTAAACTGTATCACAGAGAGTGAGTGATTATCCCCCTTACCCGAATAGCTCTATTGCGCACTACCTTTGCAATGTATCGTATGCCTATTCAGGCAGCCAGCGAGAAGGGTTTCAGGGAGGAATTGCAACTTATTTTTCAATTCGATTAAATACCCGGCTTCTAAAGAATTACTTTGTTCAATAAACAACACATGTTGGTTGGTTGGTTGGTTGGTTTTTTAACGCCGCACTCAACAATATTCCAGCTATATGACGGCGGTCTGTAAATAATCGAGTCTGGACCAGACAATACAGTGATTAATTTCATGAGCATCGATCCACGCAATTGGGATCGATGACATGCATCAACCAAGTCAGCGAGCCTGACCACCCGATCCCGTTAGCCGCCTTTTACGACAAGCATAGTCACCTTTTACGGCAAGCACGGGTTGCTGAAGACCTATTCTACCCCGGAATCGAGTAATAGGAATGAGTGTGTGAGATCATAAGTTTAAGTCGCGTCAACAACATATGTACAACAACGGGTTTGACATGAGAAATTTATAATTAGTTGTCATAATAATCACATGTATGGTGCTTGCTGTGCAGAGTTGAGGACAGTATTGTTCAAGTAGTTCACTCTATGTAATGCATGATTCATACCGTTTCTTGCGGCGGTTTTCGGTTCTGCATGGTTTATTGCTTTGACAGTTATTTCGACAAAGATTTGACAACCATGTATGCGCTTTGCTGCTGGATGCATAGGAAATCAACAGGATGGACTGTAGTTTGCAATTATTTTCCCAACCAGTAATACGGTTGCATGATATATTCACGACATTTGGGTTGAACTTAGTAACATTCTTCTAAACATACTTCGAATCTAAACCAGAGCAGTAATCACAACACAACCTAAAGTAAATAAACGGAACCGCACACACGGGTAATGGGTGAGTTGGGTTTAACGCCACTTTGAATAGTATTTCACTTATATCATGCCGTGTCAGCTTGACGTGGGAGGAAAGCCCGAAATGATGCAGGTCTTTGACGTTCACCACTTTGGTGAAACCAACGAGCAAAGGTATTAATGCTGACAATATAATCGGGGCGAGCCGGAATTCGAACACACTGTCATAGGTTTCTGGCGTGCCAAGGTACACAACTCTGCGTAGCGAATACAGCGCCCGAGGCAATTGGGCCAACCGTGCCTCCGTACACAAACTTCAAAATATATGCACAATAAGTGCAAAACCCACAGGTAAATTAAAAATACAAAGGAGGTTCATTATAACAATTTATTTTAAAACAAGTATATCATAATGGTATGAATTGAGCAAACCTATGGTAATGTTGAACATACAAGGTATTTGTTTATAATTGTAAATATGACACTGCAAACACGAAAACGTCGTTTTTTTCCGTATATGGTCATTGGACGGAAAAACGACTAAAAATTCATTAAAATTGATTAATTGGTCAGCGTCTAGAAAGTGTCCAGAAAAGGGTCGAGTTTTTCAAGCGTAAAATGGACGGAAAAACGATGCTTTTTGCTCCGCCTTGTACAACTGTTAACGGCCAATCAGATGGCGCTGGTCCCCCCGACGCACGTGATGTCCAAGGCTTCCTTTCGGACGCTTTAGGTTTCGTATTTCTGGCATGCCGTGCTCTATTATCTGTCGCGCGCAGTGCAGCGAGATTTGCTGATAAGCTAGTTTTAGGATATGTTACATGTTAATGGAATTCAGACACGCGCCAAGAAGTCAAACCAAACAATGTTACTAAGTTTATTGTGGTAACGGCTATGTACAGTTACCCCTATCGGATAATGGGTTGTGTTTCATTTGGTTATAACAATAACTAATTTTTTAATGTGAAGTTTACAAGATATACGACTTGGACGCGAGGTCGGTCACATGACGTTCTTCACGTGACTGTATTCTTGAAAAGGCGTAAACACTGACTACTTCCACATTCCTGGGGAAAACCCTTGAAATTCCCTGGTACGAATTCATACAGAAGCGTGGTTGCAAGCCCATTTAAGGATACCCTCGCTACAACCCATCCCAAAGAGAAAAAACACGAAAACAAATCCAAACTGTCGCAGTGACAATTTACAGAAATCTATGAATTTACCTTAGTATCTATTTGACACATCTTCACAATCACCTTTCAATGATCGGCCAATTGATCAGTGATCCCAAAGGTTTGAAATAGCCACAGGTTAATTAACAACTTCGGAAATATCTCCCGTCACGTTTATCGTGTCGGCCATTTTGACGAATTGTACTTGATGTAAATGTATTACGACGCTCTGTCATTGTAATTGACTTACTGAGGTAATTCTGTAAAAGATCTTCTCATCTAATGAGGATATTGTTTGGAATATATTTCTTGTAAACATACTAAAACATATGTTCCTCGGTTTGGGGGGAACTATTTTATTCCGGGGTGGCCCATTAAATCTAGTAGTAAGTCAAGGCACCATGCGTGATCTGTTATTTTATGTGTTTAAATTACGATTTGGGGCGTTAATAAAATACACTGACGCAAGTATATTCTATTCAAATCAATTGGATAATTGAATATGCTTTCTTTTACATATTACATAACATCACTGCACAAAATATGAACAGTTGCAGTAACACAATACGGTCATCGCATTAAACATCATTTTCAACTGTACAGTATTTCAGTATTTCAGTTATATCATGGTGTATCAGACTGATGTGGGATAAAAATCCG